GCTCGTTATTATTGTAATCGTACCTAATTCTTGCATTCTGTGAAAACGGATAAAATTGGCTATAATGTAATTATCTTAATCTTCACTATCATTACTTTTTGCCCACGAATAAAAACCCAGCGAAGTGGGTCCTTGCAGCTAGTTATTAATAAATATTTGTTCTAAATTGAATATCTTTTTCTATTCTTGTGTTTTAACAAGTTTTTGTTTACTGATTAAGCTTTGTCTTAGAAGTTTTTGTAATTGTACCATTTCTACAAGATCCTAACCATCAGATTTAATTAAAGCTAGTATTTTATATTTTAGAGAGGAAGAAAAAAAACCTTAAAAGAAAATATCATCTTACCCAATGTTTAATTTATGTTCCTGTAGAAAGGAAAAATTAAACAATTTCTGATAGTTTTATGAAAATTTTCTTTGATAGCATAAAAATTAATTTTAATTACCTAAATAATATATGTAATATGAATTTGTGTTGTAGAAATTTATTAATAATTTAATATTTATAGTAGTAATAATTGATACTATAATCGAGATTGTGTATCTGTTTTTTTTTCATTTTAAAAAATATTTGAGCTTTTGTGTTAGCTATGTTTTAAATAATAATGGCTTTTTTTTTAGATAATGGTACCAATGGCAACAGAATTTGAGGAAATAAACCAAGCTAGAGAAAATCCAACAGAAGAAATGCAAAGTAATATATATATTTTTTGCTGTTGTAATATTCATTTAAAAATTTATGAAGTATATGAAATTAACAGTTTTTTAAAATTACTTCAGATATGGTTGAATTTACTGATGAAGAAGGATATGGTAAATATTTAGATCTGAATGAATGCCATGAAAAATTTCTGAACTTGAAAGGTATTGAAGTAAGTATATATTAAANTAATAATGGCTTTTTGTTTAGATAATGGTACCAATGGCAACAGAATTTGAGGAAATAAACCAAGCTAGAGAAAATCCAACAGAAGAAATGCAAAGTAATAATATATATATTTTTTGCTGTTGTAATATTCATTTAAAAATTTATGAAGTATATGAAATTAACAGTTTTTTAAAATTACTTAAGATATGGTTGAATTTACTGATGAAGAAGAATATGGTAAATATTTAGATTTGAATGAATGCCATGAAAAATTTCTGAACTTGAAAGGTATTGAAGTAAGTATACATTAAATATTAATTCTATTGAAAAACATAGTTTAACAGAAAAACATTTCAGAAATACATATAATATCATACATTAAATGTTTCATATTTACTGGGGTTACATTTTACAAAACTTTTGTGAATATGAAAACTAACAAACACGTAACTGTTTACTTCAATAAATATTTACTAATTTAATGCTTTTGGTCTTCTTAANCAAAATACGTACGGAAATACGGTATTATAGCAACACCTGTATTGGACGACCACCTGTCTAAAAGACCACTTTTTGTAGGAACCGTGGGTGGTCGCCATAGACAGGTTTTACTGTATATGAAATTAACAGTTTTTTAAAATTACTTCAGATATGGTTGAATTTACTGATGAAGAAGGATATGGTAAATATTTAGATTTGAATGAATGCCATGAAAAATTTCTGAACTTGAAAGGTATTGAAGTAAGTATATATTAAATACTAATTCTATTGAAAAACATAGTTTAACAGAAAAACAGAAATACATATAATATCATACATTAAATGTTTCATATTTACTGGGGTTACATTTTACAAAACTTTTGTGAATATGAAAACTAACAAACACGTAACTGTTTACTTCAATAAATATTTACTAATTTAATGCTTTTGGTCTTCTTAATTGACCNGAGAAAATGCGACTATTGTATTAATCTTTAAAATATTGGTATTAAATCTGTCTTATAAAATCATGACAACTCCCGTAAATCAAGTTATCCGATAAGAATAAAATACAATACCAATATAGCCCTATCGTTGAAAAAATTTTCTTATATTTGCTCACCTCGAGTTTTTCTTAGTAGAAATGGCTAAAAAGTGCGCAAAATATGTACGGAAATACGGTACTACAGCACCACCTGTATTGGACGACCACATGTCTAAAAGACCACTTTTTGAAGGAACCGTGGGTGGTCGCCATAGACAGTTTTTACTGTATATGAAAAAGAAAGAAAAGAAATAATGTTTTACATTAAACAAATTGGATATTTAAAAAATTTCCGAGGATAAACAACTATTAGAAGTATTTGAAGACAAACTTACAACTAAACAATAGCAGAATGAGTCTTTTCTTTCAGATTTTGTCTCATGTAAAAATATGTAAAAATTACTAAAAAAAAGTCTCTTGACTTTTGGGACTTTGTAGAAATACATCCTTAAATTTGTGTAAATGTTCTTATAATGTGTCCTTATAATACTTTATAATTTTATAAAACTTAGCACCAACTTAACAAATAAATAATAAATAAATCAAATCACTGGTTATTTATGGAAGCCAACAGTTTTTATTAAAAGAAATGTTTTTGGTCAAAGCCCGATGACGTTTCACGTAATTATAGAAGTTTTTTTTACCTTTTTTTTACAGATACTGTGGCAATTTTTTCGCAGTTTTATAGGAATCGTAATTATAGGGGGGTCTACTGTATCTGATTTTGGGGTCTCCCCAGATAGACTGACATGCTGAACAATCTCCAAAAATATGGTAGATCTTTAAAGAGTTTCAAATAAGAAGGTTAATGAGATAATTTTCCTGAACGTGGAAATAATTAACTGAGGGGGGGGAACNGAATTACTAAGGTGTTTTTGATTATTTTAAGTATTTATATTCCAGTAAGTTATTTTATTTTACTTTCTGAATTTTAAAGAAGATAGAATTACTTATTTGAAATCATATAACTAAATCAAATGAATAATAAAACTATTGATTTTCTTGAAAATTTTATGAAATATTTATATTAAAGATAAAAGAAAGCACTACCATATCTTTATATTTTTTTACCAACTCTGTATTATTTCAAAACTTTAAATATTGTTTTAGCTTATTATCATTATCTTAATGATAATATATGAAAAAGAAAGAAAACAAATAATGTTTTACATTAAACAAATTGGATATTTAAAAAATTTTCAAGGATAAACAACTATTAGAAGTATTTGAAGACAAACTTACAACTAAACAATAGCAGAATGAGTCTTTTCTTTTAGATTTTGTCTCATGTAAAAATATGTAAAATTACTAAAAAAAATTCTCTTGACTTTTGGGACTTTGTAACTTTGTAGAAATACATCCTTAAATTTGTGTAAATGTTCTTATAATGTGTCCTTATAATATTTTATAATTTTATAAAACTTAGCACCAACTTAACAAATAAATAAAAAATAAATCAAATCACTGGTCATTTATTGAAGCCAACAGTTTTTATTAAAAGAAATGTTTTTGGTCAAAGTCACTTTCCTCAGCTTAAACTAGTTAAATGGTTTACATATGTAGAATGATGTAGAGCAGAATACATACATTGGAACAAAATTNTGAAAATTTTATGAAATATTTATATTAAAGATAAAAGAAAGCACTACCATATCTTTATATTTTTTTACCAACTCTGTATTATTTTAAAACTCTAAATATTGTTTTAGCTTATTATCATTATCTTAATGATAATATATGAAAAAGAAAGAAAACAAGTAATGTTTTACATTAAACAAATTGGATATTTAAAAAATTTTCAAGGATAAACAACTATTAGAAATATTTGAAGACAAACTTACAACTAAACAATAGCAGAATGAGTCTTTTCTTTTAGATTTTGTCTCATGTAAAAATATGTAAAATTACTAAAAGTCTCTTGACTTTTGGGACTTTGTAACTTTGTAGAAATACATCCTTAAATTTGTGTAAATGTTCTTATAATGTGTCTTTATAATACTTTATAATTTTATAAAACTTAGCACCAACTTAACAAATAAATAAAAAATAAATCAAATCACTGGTTATTTATTGAAGCCAACAGTTTTTATTAAAAGAAATGTTTTTGGTCAAAGTCTAACTTTTTTCAGCTTAAACTAGTTAAACGGTTTACATATGTAGAATGATGTAGAGCAGAATACATACATTGGAACAAAATTTCAATGAATTTTGTTCCAATGTATAGTTTCCTCAAATAACCAATGATTTCATTTATTTATNAGTACATGAAATAAAAACCTTAGCTATGTTCTGACACTGATCTTAACTGATTAGAATACCTTCCTCCAATACAATAATAAAATAATCAATATAAAGGTTTTAGTTTTTTTTTCTGTTGAATTTACTAGGCTGCATTAAAAATTTAAATAGTATTAAGGTAATGCATTAAGTTTTCTTAACTCTTTCTACCTTATGGCAGGGATGCACAACCTTTTGTGAAGAAGGGCCAAATTAGGATTAAGTTTACTGACTGGGGGC